TGAGTCTTTAACTTCACAGCATCGTTTACAGTTTGATCAGCAGAGATGTACAAACATCCTGTTTCTGTTTGAAGCTGAACCTCCTCCTCCTCCTCCTCCTCCTCCTCCTCCTCCTCAGGAGCCCAGATAAGATGGATGACATAATGGGGGGTATCAGAGATAATCTGATGGTCATGGTCTGGTTAAACACACCGTGTTATGATCCTTATAAAACAAACTACCTTTCTAAAAGGATAAATGTTCCTCCTCACACTCCTCCAGCGAGGAGCGGGAGGAAAAATCCATGGCATCCTTCATCAACTGCAGGACTTGTACCGGCTTGACAGAAATTTAATTCGAGGCAGCTCTTGAAAATAATTATTGTATTTTGAGAGGAGTAATCATTGGCCGGGACATGATTGAATGTGTCCATGCCTATTGACTTTTGCTATGATTAATAGCTTTGTTTAGTCGATATTCCCATCCAAATTGTATAATTAATTATCCCCGGYGCTGTCACGCCGCGCGATGGAGAGCCCTGATGAGGATTTGGGAAGATTAAATTTTCCGGGCGCTCGTGGCGTCAGGGGGCACGGCGGGGGCTCCGCACCGAAGGATGTGGGAGGAGCCTGGTGTGTTTGTGTCTCCCCTGACACACACACACACACACACACTCCTCCATCCACATTGATTTTGCTTCAGTATCTCTTTCTTGTAACTTTATCAGTGTGGTGTTGGCAGGATGTTTGTCCGCCGGGCCGAGCCGGGCCGAGCCGCTCTTCGTCATGCTGTGTGCGTCTTCCTCAGCGTCTCAGGAAGCCGGACGTGTTTTACACAAAATGAGGACATAAAACAGAAAAAAAGACGTTGTGTATCTGAGCCGTCTCAGCCTCTAAGTGCTGCTAAATGAAATCTGTTGTTAAGGAACATAAAGTGATTCTGCGCTGGTTCTGTCATTTCATTTAACCGGACCTCCACTCTGAATGATTAAAGAAAGTATTGACTGTCTACTTAGGCTGATCCGAACAGATCGAGCTCAGCTTTAATAAACTGTCCTGTTTGAGAATAAAAACCATTCCTTTAACAACAGAAAGCTCTGAGACGCTGTCATCGTTCTGCTCCTCAAACACACAACTTTACCTCACTGCTTAGTGTCTGCGCTTCACCTGGACAGGTGCTCCTGCAGGACGCCATCAGAACAACAGACAYGCAAAAATACCAATGTTCATTTAACAGCCACAGTGTTTAATCTTCAGCAGGACTGGGTGTCACTAAAACATAAAAATAGTGTTAGTGTTAAAATACAGTGTTAAAGTAACAYCAGTGTGTTAATATTATCATCAAATGAAATTATAGTGTTAAAACTGTTAACAGACAACACAAAGTGTTCATGAGGAGCTGCTAAAATCCCAGCTAAAGGTTAGCTTAAAGCTAACTTTTCTTCAGGCCCCTCCCCTCCCCCACACCTGTCGGAGGCAGTTTACGGCGCRTCCTCACCAAATAATGAAGACACCATAAAAATCAGAAAAGCTGTGGGCCTGAATGAAGGCAGGAAAACTCAAATTAAATGACCTTTCACCCCAACACGTATTGATGGCTTTTAATGGCTCAGCTGTTGTCGTGGACAATATTTGACAAAGCGTAAATCAAAGCACAATTACAGGTGGTGGCGCAGAGGCCAACGGGCTCCCAGGGACCCGCCGGAGAAGCAAACACGCGGCAGTTCCTCATCTTTCTCCTGCCGTCTCTTTTACTATCAGCAGGAAGCTGATTTAGGAGAAGGCTGATGGTCGGAGCAGAGGCTCCTGTCAGGACAGGGTTTACCTGCAGCACTTCCTCATCCCTCTCCTCACATCATCCTGCGCCGCCTGGGCCACAACTCCCAAGGTCATCTCTGGTTGACAAACTACCACCGGCTGCCTGAAGCCACGGGGCCCGGAGCTGGGATCAGCTGGGGCTGTAAGGCGCCGACCCAACGGGGCGGCAGCACAGTCTGCTCAATATGCCCAGGATGAAATGTAGTGTGAAATTCTCTGCTCACCTGGATGAATGAGTCAACCTGAAGCTCCGCCCCTCAGTGTGAAAACACACAGCTGTAATCTGCTCATCCTGTCACATTAACTCTTCATCTGCTAGAGTGAAACAGACAGGCTCACATCATAAATATCTTACCTGCTGTACATAGTTCACCTGAGATAGATAGATAGATAGATAGATAGATAGATAGATAGATAGATAGATAGATAGATAGATAGATAGATAGATAGATAGATAGATAGATAGA